TTGAAATTTGAGTTACAAAAGTGAATTTCAGTTTTTAATGAAAAAGTTACATTAGTCTACTGGAAATTTTTATTCGTAATTTATCATTTCATAAAGTGGCAATTTAATATAATATTTCACGTGATTTTTTTTATATATCAAGAACAATATTTAATAAGTTAATTTTTACTGTAACTTATCGGGGCATTTTTTTTTATAAAGTAATAAAAAGTTTGGATAATTATTGTTAGAATAAAATTTAAAATTTCTTTTTAAAGTTCATTTCTTACTTTTAGTAATACTGATAATAAACTATTATCTTATTTTTAATTGAAAAAGTAATTTAATACAGAAAAAGTGAATATTGTCATTACAAGACATCATTAAGGTATCGATCAAGCACTTCAAATATGAAAAGTTATCATTATTCATGTGCATTCGCATGGAAATGAATGATGAACTCTTTCTTCTCCACCTCTTTATATTATCTTTTAATTTTACCATCTTGTTTCCAGTAAATCCTTTATAGATTTCTAATATTAAAATTTATTTTATGGAGATTTTTAAGTAATGAAAAAAACTGTGTAAGTTATCTATCATCAATCAAAGTTTCCTCTTTTCGATTGTTTAAATCTACACATTTTAAAAACTGATTTAAAAAAGATATATATATACAATTTTTCTTTAAAAATGTTATTTTATGATACTTTTTCAGATAATTTTAAAAGATAATCTTTATATTTTTATAGCTTACTTTATGTAAATTTAACTTTAAAAAAATATATATATATATATTTTTTAATCCTTCCTTTTAATTATTTTTCTATTTTTTTCCACAACTTTTTACGCTTATTTAGTGGAATTACTGAATGATTAATCACAAAACACATAAATTTTTCGATTTGATTATTAAATATCTACTTTCGGTAATTTAATGACTTTTAAAGAAGAAAAAAAAATAATTAAATAAACTTTTAAAAATAAGATAATTTATAAATTAGATTACATTAAATTAGATTACAATTAATTTAATTCTAAATTTAATCAATCAGATTCTCTGAAGAATTCTATGCTAAATTAAATTCACAGTTTTAAATTTGTCAACAGTTTTACATAATTTTAGATGGAAAAGATTATTAAGCTATCATATGTAAGCAAACAGAATAATAATAATTAAAAAAATTAATAAATTTCGAAATTAAATAATAAACCCTGAAGTAATAAAATACCTTAAACGAATAGTTTTAGAACAAACTGAAAATTTTTAATTTCATCAAGCGACAAAGTATAATTCTTAATAAATTACGGAATAACAATTTTGTAATTTAAAAGAGTGAAAAGTAGATATAAGCTATCATATGTAAGCAAACAGAATAATAATAATTAAAAAAATTAATAAATTTCGAAATTAAATAATAAACCCTGAAGTAATAAAATACCTTAAACGAATAGTTTTAGAACAAACTGAAAATTTTTAATTTCATCAAGCGACAAAGTATAATTCTTAATAAATTACGGAATAACAATTTTGTAATTTAAAAGAGTGAAAAGTAGATATATCCTAAAGGTAACAAAACAGTATAAACACATTTAAAGATGAGAAAATTAATAAATATTTTATAATTATCTCACATCATGCAAAGCCTTTGGCAAGGCATGGATTTTAGATAGATAGAACAAAAGAAGATAAAACTAGTTGAGAAAGTTAGATTACTGCAAATGATGCAATACTTTATTGCAATAACTCTACATTCCTGTAATTACGGGAGCCCTGAAGGTGGTAAAAGAAACTCATCCCAGCGACAAACAATACAGTTACAGGCTTTGGGCTAAGCTGCCTGTCTTAATCTCCGTTTCCATCTTACACTGTAACATGACACAAAGGGACAACAAAACGAACCTTAGTCATTTTCTTGTTTCTAACACAAGATTGGAGATCTGCTCGAAAAAGACAATTCTGATAAAGACAATAGCATGTGTTCACTTTGATTACACCATCTTCATTCTCTCCGCGAGGTTAAAGATTAAGAAAGATTCTGGCTAAAAGAAAAATAAAAGTGTTTTTTTTTTTCTTCTTCTTCTTTTTTAAAGAGTTTTTCTTATTAAGATATGACTAGGAGCAAGAATAAGTTCAAAGGAGAAGCACGCTTTACAGGAAACGAAAGGAAGAAATGCGTAATTATCACACAAATTATCATTAAATAAATTAGTAGAATGTTACATATACATCTTAAATTATTTATAAATTATATTATGAAGTTAAAATTAATGTTGATAATTAAATCTCAGACGCATGTTAACTGATGTGGATTCGCTTATTCGAATTTCAAGTCAATTTTACACTTTATGAACATGGAAATCATGATGCTTATTCATGTATTCATGTGTTGTTGTGTGATACATTTATTTATTTGAATATAAATCGTGTCTTCTCAATAATAAAACAAAACTTTTATAATTCAAAGACTTTCAGTTTAGTTTTTTGAAATTATATAATTAAATTATCATGTTAAAATATTTTTATATACTAAATAATATAAATAAATGGAATTGATAGATTTTTTTATTTTTAACTTATAATACTTAAAATATGCAAATAATTTATTATTAATGTTATTTGATTCAGAAACTATGCTTATAAAATTTTAATTTATTTATTACTTAAAAATAAAAGTTTTATAAACTTAATATAAGTAAATAAATTTTGTAT